TATATATATATATATTTTTTTTATTTATAGCAATACAGGTAAAAGACTAATGGCAAAATGCAGATTGTTATATCAAGAAAATGAAGAATTAGGTCGTATGATTGCTAGTGGACGAATTGCTAAGTTAGAAGGAGATCTTGCTCTTCAAAGAAGCTTCAGTGAAGAAATGAAAAAATCACAATCAGGTATTGCTTTTGTTATTAATTATTATTCTATCTAGCATGAATATGTTGCAGATTAAAGCAGCTATTAACATTTAGTGATGTCTTTATTACAGAGTTGGATGAATTCTTGCAAGATTTGGACGAGGACGTTGAAGGAATGCAGAGCACAATTTATTTCTTACAACAAGAGTTGCGTAAAGCTCGCGAGTCAGTTACATTATTACAACAAGAAAATGCAGGGTTAAAAGCAAATTCAAGTGAAAACAATTTAACAAATGGTTTATCACCTCACACACCACCAATAAAGAAGGAAGATTCCGAAGAAAATTCAATTTCGGAAATAAAGACTTCAAAATCAATGGAAGATAGTGATGTGTGCAAAGGTGCTAGGACTCCACCGTTATCATCACAACGATCGCCGCAGTGTGAGTTTTCTAATACTGAAAGAACAGAACGGGTTGAACGAAAACCCAGTCAAGCAGATCATAACGATGAAAGCTCAAGTGATTCGGCTGCTTTGATCATTAAAGTAGAGAATGAGGAATTAAGTGATAGGGAAGAAGAACATGAAGAAAGTCGAAATAATAAGAGGATATTGCGAAGCAAAAGTCATAATAGAAATAACAATAAGACTAATGGGGAAGAGGTGCTAACTAGAATAACTAGGGGTAGGGATAGGACCAAAAGGGACAAAAGTGCACCAGGTAGTGACGATGAAAGGACATACAAGAAAAAAAGAAGAGAGAGTATGCTTTCTCTTGATTATAACGAAGCTGATGACGATGCGTTAGTTCTAACTAATGGTGAGACTCTTCAAAGCGATCCAGAATGAACAGTTTTCTAGAATGATTTTATATATATAACACTTGTTACATATGAACAAGGCTTAGCGTGACTTAATACACAATATAAGTTGAATCAAATATTTCATATTTAGAAATTATAACATGGAAATACCTTATGATAAATATTATTTCTTGTATAATTTTTTATAATGTATTTGTGTAAATTTGAAATTTTTAAAGTCACGTTAATGCCAAAAGATAGCACTTGATTACATATGATTATATGTTCACAAAATAACGTGGCGTTGGAATAAAGGGGTAGATAGATGAAAACATCTCTTTTTTTTTTGCAATGAAATCGCATTAAATTTTCTAATAATTATTCGTTATTTCGAACAAATGCTTCAATATTTTTAAATAGCTTTTTGTAAATTCATTACAATATTGATAGTAGTTTATCTTGTTAGATTTCTTGAAGCGATCACAAAAAATATAAATAACAATAAAGTAATAATCAAGGCTATGCCTTTTCTATTATGTAAATACACAAATGTTAATATCTGGTACACGACGACGCACATACGTAGATTTATACACGGTTGTGTGCGCAATAATTTGTATGTATGTATTGTTTTTTTTTCATTGTGTCAACATGCGTGTCAACATTCGTTACTGATGCATAAAATGTGCTTTTAATTGTGTATAATAAAATTGAGGTCTATTTGTTAGATTTATTGAATACCTGTAAATTATATGAAATACAAAATATTAATTTCACTAAAACATGCCATTGATCTTATAGGTCACAAAACATTACAGTTACATTCTAAAAATTGTTTTCAAGAACAAATGTACAAAATATTTACATTGCTACTTTATACTATCCTGTATAAAAGCGCATATTTTTTACAATCTTTCTTATATAATTCTCTTTTTGAATTCATTTATAATTTTTGTATATAATATTCAATTTGGATTTCAATATCCATCATACTTGGGATATAATTTTTGAAAAATTATCAATAATTGAAATATAATTTATGCATAATTCAATTCTGCATAAAAACTGCTTGATATCATTGTACAATATGTAATTTATCAATTAAAGATTACTTTTCAATAAACAGAATCAATTATTTATGACAATTACAAGATAAAACGTAAATTCTTTAATTCATCAACTTTTATAATTATAAAAATTGCGTATTTAAAAATTTCAATTGAAATAAAATTATTTGTATTTTTTTGATGTTATATGAAATGTTTTTAAGTTATATTAATGTTGAAATGTTTTAGTTAGTTTCAGTTATTAAGTTAAATTTCAAAAAGATAATATATTGATAAAATGGAAAAAAATTTTTTTTAAATCATTCGAGTTTTCAGTTATAATATTCATCAAAATAAGTAGATAATTTCAATTAAAGGAAAATTAGTATGTGCTTATAATCAATGGAAAAAACTGTGACGTAATAACTGATATTTGTATAGTTGATAATAGAGCTATTTTTTAACATACTCTCGCATTGAGATTTTTGCAACGACTGTGACAGATTTATAAGTGAAGGTTACGCTTAGAGTTTACGTTTTTCTGATATTAATCCATAAAAACAAGTTGAATTATTATCGTTTCAATAATGTTTGCAGCAAGACGTGCTTTATTCTTTAATACGATGTGAGTTAATTTTATTTTTCATTTATAATTCTCGCATAATTTATATTATATAATTTCTAACCTATCACACTTTCTACTTGTTATTAGTATTGAACGTTTTATTTTATTTATGAGATGATTATGTTTATTGATATTGTATATGTATATAATGTTTATTGATATTATATGTGTATGAGGGATTAATATTTTTTATACTTTAAAATATAAAATACAAAATTTTCGAATTAACTATATTTGATACAAATTGATTTTTCTTCATTCTAAACTAAATCTATTCGATTTAAGTAATTTAAGTTTCTAGTTTGAATTTATTTCATAAAAATTATTAGTTAACTGATAAATTATTATTGATATTCAACAATATAATGCATTTGATGCATCTGTCAAATTTGACAATATTGAAGGCATAATTTTTAAAAAAATATATAGCAGGTTTTTAAAGTTATTTAAGTTAACTAAATGCATATAAAAAGTCAGTATAAATTTAGTTTGACTCTTGGCATGTAAATATATGTTGGACAAGAGTCTTTTGAATGATATGTACAACGTGCGATTATACATAATTAATTGCTTGTAAAAAATAAAATGATTATAACATGATAAAAATAACAAATAGTAAACATTATTTTGTCAGATAATGTTCATATTGTCAATAAAAAAAGTTGATATTTTGAAAATACAATATTTATATAACTTGTACAATTATAATTTGTAAATATATAAATATACTTTATTTTTTATTTAATAAAAATTATGATTAGTTTTATAACATATATTATGTAAATTTCTAAATAAAATTAAGAAGAAAATTTTGAGTATGCTTTACTGATAATCTTTTTGTATGCACTTTTCACTTTTAGCAATACATCTATAAGGGCAAAGCATTCACTTCCTGAATTACCCTATGACTACAAAGCTTTGGAACCTATCATTTGTGCAGAAATTATGCAGCTTCATCATTCCAAGCACCATGCAACTTATGTGAACAATTTGAATGTTGCTGAAGAAAAATTGAAAGAAGCTGTCGCTAAAGGTGATGTTAATACTCAGATTGCATTAGGTCCTGCTATTAAATTTAATGGAGGAGGCCATTTAAATCACTCAATTTTCTGGTGTAATCTTTCACCAAATGGCGGTAAACCGGATGGTAAATATTTCTTCATTATTGATTTTTCCTTTAAGCTGTTCTGCAATATCGTTAAATATTTTTTCTTTCAGCCGCACTTCTCAAACAAATCGAAAAGGATTTTGGTAGTCTGGAAGAAATGAAAAAACGATTATCTGAAACTACTGTTGCAATCCAAGGCTCTGGTTGGGGTTGGCTTGGATATTGTCCAAAAGCAAAATCTTTAAGGATAGCTACTTGTGCTAATCAAGATCCTCTTCAAGCTACAACTGGTTTAATACCACTTTTTGGTATTGATGTTTGGGAACACGCATACTATTTGCAATATAAGAATGTTCGACCTGATTACGTTAAAGCTATTTTTGACATAGTGAATTGGAATGATGTGAATAATCGTTACAAGAATGCATCAGGATGTTAGAGAGATAGAGACAGTATGATAGTCTCAAAAATGATGTTTACTTAGTATGAATCTTTTTTGAGAATTAATTTCGTATTCTTATTTGTCTTCGAAAGATATCTGCGATTTTATACACATTTGTTTCCTATATATTGTATACATATAATAATAAATAGCACCGAAATTTATCAGAAAGTTATTTATTTTAAAATGAAATAAGCAGTATCTTATTAATTATATTATTTCATAAAAATTATCTTTATTTGTTAAAAATATTAAATGTAGTATAATATTAAATGTAGTATAATATTTTGAAATATTTGTAAATAGAAGAACGGTTTTTTCACATCGAGATTAATTTACAAAGCTCAAATCAAAGCGCGCTATTCAAATTATCATATGTCGATAAGATTGCGGTGAGATCCGTTTTCATTTGACGCAATATCAATGGACAGTGTGGATTGGAAATTTTGCATGAAGCGTCACACTATTCCGTAAGGAGAAAACAGACATCAGCGCCACTCGGTTAGTACGCTGCACAAGCGAATGCTGAGAATGAAGAAAAAGACGACTAACCCGCGCCTTTGATAATCGATTGGTGAGAGTTAAATCGCTTTGCGTCGCGACGCGTCCACGCTGTGTCTCAAGGAACATCGCGGAACTAGAACCAGTATGGCCGGAGGTCCTCAGCTGTTTTCACGTCACTGCCTACGTATCTGGTGAGTTAAAAACATTCTTATCACTTTAACTACTTCTACTAATAGTATATTCGTTATAAACGCACAAACGCGATACTATCATTATAATCATCGTAAACTACGTTTCTGTGAAATCTATCGTCTATTGTAATTTCTGGAATGTCATCTGCGTCACAAATTAATTCTGCTTGCTTCGTCTACTTACAATATACAATAAATACATCCAACTTTAGTCAGACAGTTATTTCTGAATTTTAACGATATTATATTCTTTCATTCTGGTGGATTAGTTTGTTAGCATGGTTAGTTTTACTCTGTACAATGACAGTTTAAAGATGTACTACACACACACACACACACATACACACAACACACACACATACAAAACTGACAAACTATAATATACTATATATATTAAAAAAAAATCGTCGAAATTTTGATTGACCGTTATTAAAGATTGGATCATTTTTGACATAATCATTTTCTATCGTTAAAACATTTGTTAAATTTGCGGAATGAAAGAATCAATATGTGATTTTTGAAGACGTCGGTAGTTTTTTTTTTTTTT